TTAACCTATTCAAGTTTATTAATAAGTACATTTTGTATTTCTGTATTGCAGTTTCACAGTGCTTCTGATAAAGCATCCTAAACGTCCTACTGCTTCCTGGGTGTTTATTGAAGAACCTGTTAGCTGTCTGCCAAGCTAGAAGTCCTACCCAAATTTTAGTAAGGGTAAAACCTATTCAATTAATAAACTTGAATAGGTTAAATTCTTATTAACACAGGATTAATACCACTTTGAAAAACACAAAATACAGTAACATAAATTTACCCATTAACCACATATATAGCGATTAGCATGAATGCTAACTTAACATGGAAAACGCCATAGACAGGCTAACGCGATTAGCATCTTTACCATTTTCAACACTTTTCACACAAATATGTAATTCAAACGATCTTCACTTAAGGTTGTCATAAAAATACACTTTAACCATCACTTACAGACATAAGTTCTTCAGAGTTATGAAGAGAAAACGTGTAAAAGATGATGAAAAGTGCTCAGCTGTGTTTCAGGGTTGTTGAATGCATTGAGAACTACGGCAAGTCTAAAGAGACAAACAGCGCGGAGTAGTAATTCTTCTACCTGCTTTCTTAAAGGAGCAGCACAGTCACCTATACGCCAAAGGATGAGAATGCGTTGAGTCTGTTGGAATTGACACTAGGTCCAATTAAGTACATGTAATATTAAGTACAGTTACTTTACAACTTTCAATTTATGGGCTAATTTATATCAGAAGGGATTTGAAAAGAGGGTGGTACAAACCAAATTAAAGGTACCGCAAGACACAGGTGCGTAACAGTGAAGAGAACAAAAACAGCAGACATTAGATGGCAATGGATAAGACTAGACAGAGAGGGGAGTATTTATGGAGTTCTTAATGATGAAATAATTGATAACAGATACAATGTCAATTGTCAGGTTTATTTGTACAGTACTACTAACCACAACACCAGTTGACCAGTGTGCTTCACATCAAATACAAAAGACACAAAAACAGAGAATAAAAGACACCATACAAATACAATACATTTCATCCTTAGCCATATGCTAAATCAAAAAGATAGGTTTTTAGCCTCGATTTAAAAACAGACAAGGAAGGAGCTAATCTAATATTAAAAGGTAACACATTCCACAGTTTTGGAGCAGCAACTGAAAACTCGCGGTCACCCCTACTTTTCAACTTTGATTTTGGTCTACATAGAAGTCTCTGATTTGACGACCGGAGAGACATAACTTGATGATGTTCTGCCAGTAGTTCCGAAATGTAAGGGGGGGGCCAACCCATTTAAGGATTTGAAGACCAAAAGAAGAATACAAACAGCCACGGTTTAAATTAAGTTGAAATTAAGGTGCACCCAGAGGAACATGCGGTGGGAGCAGGATCAGTGGTAGTGGCCTGGGCTTTTTGATCATCCAGGGTCCACTGGATGTGGCTAATGATGACGGAAGGATAGAAGATGAAGCAGAAGTTGACATTTGCTTTTGTGTTCATAGATCTTAGATTAAACGTTGTGGTGTAAAAGAATCTGCAAAAAAATTAGGTACACTGGGCCTGGTGAGGATTCAGCTGCTTTCCATCACAAAAGGTGCTTTAAGTTGCGGTTATCTGTGATCATTTGAAATGGGTGATGGGCTCCGTCAATATAGTGGTGCCACTTTTCCAGTGCCACCGTGATTACCAACAACTCCCGGTTATGGATGTCGTAATTTTGCTTGGAGGCTGAGAGCTATAGTGAGAAGATGGTGCAGGTTTGCTTTGCAATTGAGACAATACGACTCCAATGTGTTAGCAAGGTTGCAGACAGACAGATGAAGATCAGGATAAAGTTCAAATTCAGGGTTTATAATAATCCAACAGGCAAATAACAGAAGGTAGTAGCAACACATTAACGCAAACAAGACCGGACAAACACTGAGTAAAGGTGAGGAACTAAAATACACATGGTGGTGATGAACTAAATGACAAACAGCTGTGATGAAGATTAGTATCCATGGAAACTGATGACTGGCGGGAAACTAAAACAAAGGAACACGTGACTAATGAATACAAACTAAAAGTCTTTGAAAACGGAACTAAGAACCAACACAACTGATATCTTGTAACAGAACGCCTCCTCCTGAAATGCGACCTCATGGCGTGAAGAGGAGGAGGCTTAGGAGACAGACGAGGAGATGGTGAAGGGACGGTGACAGGAGGGCAACGAAACCCCGGCGGCAATGACTGTAAGAGCCCGATGCAGCAGACCCACAACTCGGCAGTGACGACAGCCCACGGCGGAGTCGATTGAGGGAGGAGCCAAGATGTTGCTATGGCCGACAACCAACAGAGCAGGAGCCCATGGATCCCAGGGCACAGAACCTGATGGACCTGAGCGCAGGAGCTGATGGACCTGAGCCACATCGCTGGCACTGGAGACCTAGGTGAAGCCGTGGCGACGAGCGTCTGAGGTGGAACCAAGGCGGAGCCAACAGATCGACAGGCCGAGGTGGAGCAAAGGGATCAGAGGCCGGATGCAGAGCCAAAGGATACTCACGCTCAGGTGAGGAAAAGGTGACAGAGGTAAGCTTGACGTGATCAATAACGGTAATTCCAATTTCCAATAGGTCAACAAAACAGTCTCAGTGCTATCTTGGAACAGCGATGATTCAAAACAGACAGATAATACCGGGGGGGATAGGGTGGGAGGCAGTACCCCCGTATCCAAATCCATCAGCCAGTCCTCGTTGTCCAATTCCACCAGAACTCCTTCTCCCACTGATGTCGCTGGCTCACTCACACCCCTGGTCATACTCACTCTGGGGCTCCGGCTCCGAGGCGATGGTCGGCACTGTCCCTTCCTCTTCGGGCTCTGGCTCACTCAGCGTGGTGGGCGGTTGCTCTACGTCTGCGGGGGGCTATAGCGAATTCTCCGCGGTCAAGGGTGGTGGTGGGCTGGGCTCTAGGTCTGGCTGTGTTCTGGATCGGGGAGAGACACTCTCTATTTGTCCATTTGAGCCAGAAAAATTAGCTGTAGTGGCCAGAGGACTGGATAATTGGCTGAGAAACATGGATGGTAAAGCAAGAACTGTAGAGGGAATCACTAAGAACCAGAAGAACAACATTTAGAGAGTTTTGATGGTCTTACCAGCTGGGTTCGTGCTTGTGGGCTCATGGTTTATTCTTCTTTCAGGAAGCATGTAATAAGACATGATGATGGTACAAACTCAAGTGGACGATCATATATATTACAGATACTGCAAGACACACTGGTGAGTATAATAGAAGAGTTTTGGGATGTCTGTCTTTACACTCACATGAACTTTTATGATCCATTCTTAATCCTTAGTGTTTAATATGGAGTTGGCCCACCCTTTGCAGCTATAACAGCTTCAACTCTTCTGGCAAGGCTTTACACAAGGTTTAGGAGTGTGTTAATGGGAATTTATGACCATTCTTCTAGAAGCGCATTTGTTAGGTCAGGCACTGATGTTAAACTAGAAGGCCTGGCTCACAGTCTACGCTCTAATTCATCCCAAAGGTGTTCTGTCGGGTTGAGGTCAGGACTCTGTGCAGACCAGGCAACTTCCTCCACACCAAACTCGGTCATCCATGTCTTTGTGCACTTGCTTTGTGCACTGGTGCGCAGTCATGTTGGAATAGGAAGGGGCCATCCCCAAACTGTTCCCACAAAGATGGGAGCATGAAATTGTCCAAAATGTCTTGGTATGCTGAAGCATTAAGAGTTTCTTTCACTGGAACTAAGGGGCCATGTCCAACCCCTGAAAAAGAACCCCACACCATAATCCCCCCTCCACCAAACTTTACACTTGGCACAATGCAGTCAGGCAAGTACCGTTCTCCTGGCAACCGCCAAACCCAGACTCGTCAGCAGATTGCCAGACAAAGGAGCGTGATTCATCACTCCCGAGAACACATCTCCACTGATCTAGAGTCGAGTGGCGGCATGCTTTATACCACTCCATCCGACACTTTGCATTGCACTTGGTGATGTAAGGCTTGGCTGCAGCTGCTCGGACGTGGAAACCCATTCCATGAAGCTCTCTACGCACTGTAGAAGGGCACACAAAGTTTGGAGGTCTGTAGCTATTGACAAAAGTTGGCGACTTCTGCGCACTGTGCGTCTCAGCATGCACTGACCCCGCTCTGTGATTGTGGCCTACCACTTCGTGGCTAAGTTGCTGTTGTTCCCAATTGCTTCTACTTTGTTATAATACCACTAACAGTTGACCGTGGAATACATAGTAGTGAGGAAATTTCACGAATGGACTTGCACAGGTGGCAACCTATCACGGTACCACGTTTGAATTCACTGAGCTCCTGAGAGCGACCCATTCTTTCACAAATGCTTGTAGAAGCAGTCTGCTTGCCTAGGTGCTTGATTTTATACAACTGGGGCCATGGAAGTGATTGAAACACCTGAATTCAATGATTTGGAGGGGTGTCCCAATACTTTTGGCAATATAGTGTATGTTGGAATTGGAGATAATCCAAGAAAGACAAGCAGCAAGGAACACTACGGAAGGGTAGTGTTGTGAGAACGGTCTATGTCAAGACTAGACAATGAGACTATGAGAGAGATGCACATCTATTGAGTCCTTGATGATGCATTTATTGATAACTGATAGTCTTGAGAGGGGCAACGAAGAGAGGAAGGAGGCATGAGTCTGATGGGGGCAATTTACCTTTTCCTTGAGTGTTTTTTTTACTCAAATGTGACTATTGTACAGAACAGGCCAGCCGTTTTAAGAAATACATTTAATAAATTTCCTTTATATTTTATAATTTACAGATATCTAAAAGTTAAATTAGGTTATGCTTATTCTGTATATCATCTATAATGGTGTTACTCTGAGAACTGTCCACTACCTCTAGATATAAACAATGGATATCATATATGGAATCAACAACAATTCAAACATATTTCTAACCTTGAAAGCATTACAGTTAAAATCGAACTTTTTCCACTATATCTAGAGTTGCAATATTGTTTTATGGCCTGCAGGGGGGGATGTACATATTCCAGTTGTTTGACTACTATGCCTGTAATGGAGCCTGTTTGCTGTTCCTGTCTATGTTCGAGTCTCTGATCATTGGTTGGGTCTTTGGTGAGTTAAAATCAAACTTCAGGAACTGACATTAACAGACTCTGACTATAATAAAATTAAAAGTTAAATGCAAAATGTCAAAGACTGCATTGACAGTATTTCCTCTCCTATATTCCACAGGGGCTGAGAGAATGTTTGACGTCATTAAAGACATGACAAATTCACGACCCAACTACATATTCATGTTGTGCTGGAAATACCTGACTCCTCTTGTGTCTCTGGTAAGTATATATATTTTGGATTCCCAGATGCTGGTCAAACAAACATTTTACTGTTTTTTTCAACTGATTTTAAACAATTCTCCAAACCAAAGTCAGTTCTCTCAGTGTCATCAATGCAAATCCTTAATTTAGTTAAAAGTTCGAACTGTTTAGTTCTCACTAATTAATGAATTATTGTACACAATTATGGTAAATTCAACATTTAGCAAAAGCAAATACTCACATAAAAAAATAGTGTTCTTAAACTAAAGCATGTGGTGGTGGTCTTATAAAAGTGTTGATAAAACTTTATACATATTTCATCTCAAATATATTTAATCTATACTGCCCTAGAAAGGCAAAAGACCTTAACTCGCTAGAGTGTGGAACTGAGAAAAATGACTTTAAAGATTTGTAGTTGTCCCGCCAAATTAATTATAGGTAGGACACTGAAAATTTGGCAATTAGATGTTTAAGTAATGAAAATTATCTACATAATGAAATTTTGAGCTCAAACTTGACTTTTGACCACTATTTTAAAGTTACTGTACTCTACCTTTGTATTGTCAGCAAAAAGTGAGAAGTCATGCCAAGGCAAAAGCCATGTAACTTCCACATTATCAATAATTGGTTGCTGATCACCATTAACAAAATCATTATAGTAACACCTGTATAAAATCTAGTGATCATGGCATTTATTTTGTATGATTTACAATTACCTAGCCTTCTAGTTATTGTGCTTTGGTTGCATTCTGGTGGCCCTATTAATACATTAGACATGACAAAATACCTCCATAGCGGTAAAGACTATCTTCAAGTGGTACCGAGTGGCATAAGACTTGCTAAACGCGCGTTATGTAATGCAATGATCACGATAAAACAGATCCTCGCGCACATTCGACCCGGAGACTGGTTTATCGTTGGATCTGAAAGACGCAGACTTTCACAGGCGTTTACCGAGATTCGTGTTCGAAGGTGTCACGCTAACGTCACGGATATCGCACTTTTGTCGATGGAGCGGGTTAAGAGCATTCATACTTCATATTGACGCGCGGCTAAACAAAGGCAGAGTGCCGTAACTCAATATGAGCGTTCCAAAACTAAGCCAAAGAGCCGTTCCAAAACAAACGGCAAACTCCGTTTGTAAACCTCGAATGTCAGCGATCTGGAACGGTGAGAGGTGGTCTCCGCAAATGGCCAGAGCAGAGGATTGAGATTTTAAGTTCGCCTCTGGCCTGAGATCCTCCTCCCCACTCACTACCGTCGCCAGCATCGCTGACTCCGCCTCATTCCACTTTTTTAACAGGTTGAGGTGGTAAATCTGATGTGCTCCGTCCCTATCTGATTGAAGAATCTCATAGTTGAGATCCCCGATTCGCCGTGTGACCACAAACGGTCCTTGCCACTTGGCGAGTAATTTAGAGCTGGATGTGGGAAGCAATAGGAGCACTTTATCTCCCGGTGCAAATGTACGTAGTTTAGCCCCCCTGTTGTACAGCCGACGTTGTTTGTCCTGGGCCTGTAACAAATTCTCCATAGAGAGCCGCCCCAAAGTGTGGAGTTTTGTTCTCAGGTCCAGGACATATTGAATTTAATTTCTACTGTTCGAAGGTCCGTCCTCCCAAGCTTCCCTAAGCACGTCCAGCACCCCGCGGGGCTGGCGTCCATAGAGCAGCTCGAAGGGGGAAAACCCCGTGGAGGCTTGGGGGACCTCGCGTACAGCGAACAAGAGGGGTTCTAACCACTTATCCCAATTTTTGGCGTCTTCCTGCACGAACTTACGAATCATGGATTTCAACGTGCGATTAAATCGTTCTACCAAGCCGTCTGTTTGTGGGTGATAGACGCTGGTCTGAACCGATTTAATGCCCAGCAATTCGTACAGCTCGCGAATTGTGCGTGACATAAACGCCGTGCCCTGATCGGTGAGAATCTCTTTCGGGATTCCCACCCGGGAGATTAATTGAAACAGTGCGCTCGCAACACTTTTAGCCGAAATGTTGCGAAGTGGAAATGGTATCGCGTTGCATAATCCACCAGAACTAATGCAAAGCGATGCCCCCATGCGGATCGTTCTAATGGCCCGATGAGGTCCATGCCAATTCTCTCGAAGGGGACCTCTATTAATGGAAGGGGGCACAAAGGTGCTTTTCGGTTGGCCGGTGGATTCACCAACTGACATTCACAACAAGACACACACCACCTGCGCACATTCTCGTGAATGCCCGGCCAAAAAAATCGGGTCATTAGCCGATTTAGTGAAGCTGCTTGCCCAAAATGCCCAGCCATTGGATTACAGTGAGCCGCCTGAAAAAGCATTTCCCGGCGGCTCTTTGGAACTAACAACTGAGTTGTATCTTGCTTTGTCTGGGTGTCCTGGGTCACCCGATACAACTTGTCTTTTATCACGGCAAAATAAGGATATGAGAGCGGCTGGTCTGGGTGGACAGGCTGTCCGTCGATCACGCGGACCTGATCAAACGCATTTTTAAGCGATTCATCTCGGGACTGTTCCAGAGGAAAATCATCGCGGTCAGAAAAGATTTCCCTTTCTGACGCACTCCGTTCCTCTGAGACAGGGCCCGAGGGTCCCGGTACAGCCTCTCCAACCTGAACCACCGCTCTCTTCTCCTGCCTCTTTCTTAACCCAGAAGCACCCGTACATAAATGAGCCAATAACGTTTTGAACCCCGGCCAATTGGTCCCCAAAATTAGCGGGTGCTGGAGGTGCTGGTTAACTGCCACCTCCACACTATGCTTTTGTCCCCGAAATTGAATAATGACTGGCACTAAGGGGTATCCCACCACCTCACCGTGCACACACCGAACCTTAACCATGCGGCTCTTATCCAATGCCACTGGATGAATCAAGCTTTGATGGATGGAGGTCTGGTTACAACCTGAATCCACCAAAGCCTGATAGGTACCCCCCTTTAGACTTACTGGAATTTGGTACAACCCAGCTTGATCGGGGGCAACCTGAGGCGCGTCGGGGACCCTGATCACCGTGCCGACCTCCATCACCGGACACCTATCCACAAAGTGTCCAGGGTCCCCGCAACACCAACAGGCCGGCCCAGGCCTCCCCGCCATCCCAGTGGCGGGAAGTGGGTCAGGTGATTGGCGTGAGGAGAGTGCAGGGGTCGGGGTTGGCGAGCTGCCAACCGTCGATGGGGTTCCCCGGGGCTGCGGACGAGGTGCATGGACCGGTTCAGCTGCGGGCCCGGTCCTCCAGCGGGGCGCCGGGCGCGGTGGGAAGCCGCCTCGGGACCTGGGAGCGGGGACAGGCCGAGAGAGAGAGAGAGAGGAAGGGAGAGAGTGAGAGAGAGAGAGACAGAGAGAGAGAGAGAGAGAGAGAGAGAGAGAGAGAGAGATGTCGGGAGGGGATCGCCAACCCCTGGGCACGCCACCAGCTGGTCCTCTGCCAATTGGATGGCCTGGTCCAGCGACGTCGGGCGGTGGCACTGGACCCACTGCGCAGTCTTCTTTGGCAGCCGGGCGATGAACTGCTCCAGTACCACCAACTCGATGACTCTATCGACGCCGCGGTCCTCGGCCACCAGCCATCTGCGGCACGTGTCCTGGAGCTGTTGCGCGAAGATGAAGGGTCGGCCGGATTCCCCGAATTCCATGGAGCGGAACTGTTGACGACTCTGCTCCGGGGACCGGCCGACCCGCTAAAGAATGGCGCGTTTCAGGTCTTCATAGACCAGGAGGTTGCGGACTGGCAACTGCTGAGCGGCGATCTGTGCTTCTCCCGAGAGCAGCGGAATCAGACGCATGGGCCAGTCCGCGGGCGGCCAGCCCCCGGCCTCGGCCGACCTCTCAAAGAGGTCCAGGAACGCCTCCGGGTCGTCCTGGGGACCCATCTTGTGGAGGGGAAGGGCCGTGGTCGGGACCGACGATGTAGACGCCCGAGCCTCCCGGTCTATCCAGCTCCGGAACTGCTCGCGGTCCTTGTGCTGGGTCTGGAGGAGGGCCTCGAAACGATGTTGTTGATGCTCCTCCATCTTCAGCAGAGCCTCTTGATGTTGTTGATGGAGGCCCGCGAGCGCGTTGATAATGTCCGCAAACGGCGATGCCAGAGGTGGCCTGGCGGCGGCCTCTCCTTCCATCCCGGGTTTCGGCACCAGTGTGATGTATAACAGGTTCGTTTGTGTATGGATGATGGAAGGAGACACGGGGTCGGCGAATACTGGGACTCGTGCACTTTTATTTATGAGGTTTTTCCCCCTTTACGGCGCGTAATCACGCTCAAACAAAGTTAACTCAGAATATCAAAAAGGCAAAATAAACAGTAGACAATAATTCTCTTCCCGCTGGACACAGCTTCACTGGACACAATTCCAATAGTACTCTTCCCGCTGGATACAGCTTCACTGGACACGATTCCAATAACACTCTTCCCGCTGGATACAGCTTCACGTGTCAAAGTTTCAGCAACACTCCGTTCACTGGTCACAGCTTCTCACGCGACGTGCACGAGCTCCCAGCCTCTCTCAAAACGCTGTCAGCACGGCGCGCTTATATGCGGTCTCCTCACGCCAATTACTGAAATCACAAACAGGTGTTTGTGATTTGAACTTGACCCACTTACTCACCGCTCGGCTCCGCCCTCGCTCTCCCGCTACAGACTTCGCTGAACCACGCCCCCCTCACCACAAGGTGTTTATTGTGTTATTGTAACTTGTTCGAAGGATGGCAGACTTGGCCAGTGTCGGCACATACCTATAGGTGAAACAGCACAGTCAGGGCGGCGAGTTTATAAGACAGTATATAAAACTATGATTGGCTACTCAATCAAAAGAGTAAAACAACTACAAGCAAAGTATACCTAGAATACTTAATTATACTTTTAAGTATATCTTGATCAAAAGATTGAGTAAAAGTAGGCCAAATATACTTTCTTATTTTTAATTTAAAAGAAGTATACTAATAGCATTAGCACAGTATACTTACTTAAGTGCAAGTTAAAGTATATTTCTGAGAAGTACATAAATTGTAGACTGAAAGTATACTTTTTTTATTTTTTATTTAAAAGAAGTATACTAATAGTATACTTGAATACACATATTCGTAAGGGCACTCAAATCACAACTGATGCACAAAATCAGTGTAAAATATTAAGCGAAACATGTAAGCAGGTGTTGGAACGTTTGGTGAGCATTGTGAGAGTAATTGCG